AGAAGCAACAATAACATGGCTTCGAATACGGACGCACTAGCGACATCTAATTTAACAAACGTAAAATAGTTTCGAAACACAATTCAGATTTCTGCTTTTATCTGTGCTTTCTAAAAATTGCAAAGCAAAACAGACGTTGATAAAGGTGTTAAAAGAGACGTGGGGAATCTAAAATTTGCATTCCACGACACATCTTTTCAACTAAGCAGAAATCCTTAGCGAATTGGTTTCTTGTACTCGTACAGAGTAAATCCGAAAAAAGTGAAAAAGACAGCAAATATTTGATTTCACGCAAACAGCGCCTTTGTATCTGTTGATACGTATTTCGACCTAATAGGTCTCATCAGAACAGTTATTCAAAGGTGTTCTCAACGTGAAAGATCAATATTTTCTGTCTTTTTAAGAAGCAACAATAACATGGCTTCGAATACGGACGCACTAGCGACATCTAATTTAACAAACGTAAAATAGATGTAAAAAGACAGAAAATATTGATCTTTCACGTTGAGAACACCTTTGAATAACTGTTCTGATGAGACCTATTAGGTCGAAATACGTATCAACAGATACAAAGGCGCTGTTTGCGTGAAATCAAATATTTGCTGTCTTTTTCACTTTTTTCGGATTTACTCTGTACGAGTACAAGAAACCAATTCGCTAAGGATTTCTGCTTAGTTGAAAAGATGTGTCGTGGAATGCAAATTTTAGATTCCCCACGTCTCTTTTAACACCTTTATCAACGTCTGTTTTGCTTTGCAATTTTTAGAAAGCACAGATAAAAGCAGAAATCTGAATTGTGTTTCGAAACTATTTTACGTTTGTTAAATTAGATGTCGCTAGTGCGTCCGTATTCGAAGCCATGTTATTGTTGCTTCTTAAAAAGACAGAAAATATTGATCTTTCACGTTGAGAACACCTTTGAATAACTGTTCTGATGAGACCTATTAGGTCGAAATACGTATCAACAGATACAAAGGCGCTGTTTGCGTGAAATCAAATATTTGCTGTCTTTTTCACTTTTTTCGGATTTACTCTGTACGAGTACAAGAAACCAATTCGCTAAGGATTTCTGCTTAGTTGAAAAGATGTGTCGTGGAATGCAAATTTTAGATTCCCCACGTCTCTTTTAACACCTTTATCAACGTCTGTTTTGCTTTGCAATTTTTAGAAAGCACAGATAAAAGCAGAAATCTGAATTGTGTTTCGAAACTATTTTACGTTTGTTAAATTAGATGTCGCTAGTGCGTCCGTATTCGAAGCCATGTTATTGTTGCTTCTTAAAAAGACAGAAAATATTGATCTTTCACGTTGAGAACACCTTTGAATAACTGTTCTGATGAGACCTATTAGGTCGAAATACGTATCAACAGATACAAAGGCGCTGTTTGCGTGAAATCAAATATTTGCTGTCTTTTTCACTTTTTTCGGATTTACTCTGTACGAGTACAAGAAACCAATTCGCTAAGGATTTCTGCTTAGTTGAAAAGATGTGTCGTGGAATGCAAATTTTAGATTCCCCACGTCTCTTTTAACACCTTTATCAACGTCTGTTTTGCTTTGCAATTTTTAGAAAGCACAGATAAAAGCAGAAATCTGAATTGTGTTTCGAAACTATTTTACGTTTGTTAAATTAGATGTCGCTAGTGCGTCCGTATTCGAAGCCATGTTATTGTTGCTTCTTAAAAAGACAGAAAATATTGATCTTTCACGTTGAGAACACCTTTGAATAACTGTTCTGATGAGACCTATTAGGTCGAAATACGTATCAACAGATACAAAGGCGCTGTTTGCGTGAAATCAAATATTTGCTGTCTTTTTCACTTTTTTCGGATTTACTCTGTACGAGTACAAGAAACCAATTCGCTAAGGATTTCTGCTTAGTTGAAAAGATGTGTCGTGGAATGCAAATTTTAGATTCCCCACGTTTCTTTTAACACCTTTATCAACGTCTGTTTTGCTTTGCAATTTTTAGAAAGCACAGATAAAAGCAGAAATCTGAATTGTGTTTCGAAACTATTTTACGTTTGTTAAATTAGATGTCGCTAGTGCGTCCGTATTCGAAGCCATGTTATTGTTGCTTCTTAAAAAGACAGAAAATATTGATCTTTCACGTTGAGAACACCTTTGAATAACTGTTCTGATGAGACCTATTAGGTCGAAATACGTATCAACAGATACAAAGGCGCTGTTTGCGTGAAATCAAATATTTGCTGTCTTTTTCACTTTTTTCGGATTTACTCTGTACGAGTACAAGAAACCAATTCGCTAAGGATTTCTGCTTAGTTGAAAAGATGTGTCGTGGAATGCAAATTTTAGATTCCCCACGTCTCTTTTAACACCTTTATCAACGTCTGTTTTGCTTTGCAATTTTTAGAAAGCACAGATAAAAGCAGAAATCTGAATTGTGTTTCGAAACTATTTTACGTTTGATATATTTTTTGGTATACATTATATTTTGATATACATCGTCAAAAACATTCAGAAAATATTTTTCAAAATTTAAACCCAATTCAAAGTCCATTAAAGACTGCAATTCAATATATATTGGACAAACACACCAATATCTACATACAGAAGGGTAGTTGCACACAAACATAATGTACAGACCAACAAAATAAACACTACAGCCTTAGGCAAACATTCTCTAGTCTATAACATAGCCATTCTTTTTATTTTGAAAATGTACAAATTTTAGAAAAAGAACTACAACAAAAGGTGCATATTGCAGATGATTCACATAAAAACAGAATAACATTCTCTCAATAATAAGACTAATATCAAAGATCTTTCCAATATGTATCATAACTTAATAAACTTAGTTGTTTTTTAAATGCACCATTGGCAGGTATTTAAGATACCCTGAACCACTCGTATTTTTAAGTACCTGTCATATGTATTTGGCAATAGTGTGAGCACTGACAGATATTTATTTAGCGTAAGATATTCTAATAGACCAATTCCAGGTTATAGAACAATTCAAAGAATTTTAAAAAAGTTTGAGGGACTGAGATTCCTAATTGTAATATGAATAATTAATTATTCCATATTGCAAAAGATCGAGAAGCCTTTGCAATGGTGATCGCCAACGTTGGAATAATCATTTAAATTTAATTTGTCCACATCGCATGGAGCTGCATCTCCCGATCAGATAACAACTCTCCGGTCATTTAATGTTACAGTTAGTAAGATTTGAATCAAAAAATGATTAAAAACGATTTTTAAGGAATTTCTTAACCTCCCGGCTATTGTGCGCAGGGCATCCAACCATCTGAAACCAAATTTCTTCTTAACTGAAATTGCTTCTGCAAGTCTCGATAAAATCTCTTCTTGAAGCAAGTCCAAAAACTTTTCTGAATTTAAAATTTCTTCATAGAAAATGGTCCAATAATATTTTATCTAAATATTCCTAATCAGACATCTATTTTTCAATGATGGGTATTGGTATTGAGTATTGTTTCAATAATAGGCTTTATAATTTATAGCTAAACAAAATATTTTAAAAAAATTGTCTGTCTGTACTAACCCTTTCTAAAATTTCATAACAAAATTCTACTCGTCTCTCAACATCTCCTTTTCATAGTTCTTGATGACATTGAAGGCTGTGGAATTATGAATGTCAAACTATTATGAATATAAACTATGTCATCACTATTGTCTGAATACAAAATCTTTCTTATTACTACTTTCCCCTCAACTGAGTATATTTTATCAATTTTATTGTTTTTTTTTTTAAGAATAAATCATAAAATAAAAATACTGACAATTCAAATATTGTTAATAGCTAACTTCATTGTAACCAAATGCAACCCATTATACATATTCGACACTACATGTAGCCTAAATGTTGTAACAACACTGTTGTAAATGTATTAAATATTTGCAAAATTTCGGAATGTGTTTTATTCATTTCAACATTTGTTTTCAATACATGGAATCAGAATCAACAAAGTAGAATTGTCGTGGTTAATCCCTATCAACCAGTATTCAATTATAATGTGGCAATCAATTACAGTTTACACAAAATTATTGCTTTTAGACAAATGAATGTCGTGTGCCCACATTTCAAGGCATTTAAGTTTAATGGTGGAGCCCTGGATTGTGTTGTGCTAGTGGCCAAGTCAAATTGATGCCATATATTGATTTCCGGAAACAGGCCAGATTCTCTTCAAGTTTTTTACTCATATAGCAAAGAAAGGGCAACATATGTTGCTTGTGAATATTATGCTTTAGTTTTGGCAATATTCGGAATGTATTATGTTTATATTTTGTTATTTTGACCTGCTCTAAACCGTTTTGTAGTCATAGTTGAATAAACTATCTATATGTCTCATGTATTCATTCACTTCAATTTTAAGTCTACTTCTTCTTCCTCAGGTTCCATCTTCTATCGAAGGTTGGAAATCATCATGGCTATGCACACCCTGTTGACTGCTGCTTCAAATAGTTCTGCTCTACTGCATTCAAACCATTCCCTCTAATTCTTAAGCTACAATATTCTTGGTCTTCCACATTTCACTTTCCTCGAACTTTGCCTTGCATAATAAGTTCCAATGAGTATCTTGAGCTAATTACATGGCCAAAGTACTCAAGTGTTCTTCTTTTGATAGTCAATATTATTTCAGCTTCATTTCCTATTCTTCTAGTAACTTCTGCGCTTTACATTCTTCAAGTCCATGATATTCGTAGGATTCTTCTGTAACACCAAAACTCAAAGGTGGCCAGCATATTTAGATGCACTTGTTTTAATGTCCATGCTACCAAGCCATAAAGAAGAGTAGTGAATATGTAACACTGAAGCATCCTTAAGCATAGTCCTAGCTTTTTATCCCAACAACATCCCTAACCTTATATCTCCTCTATGTCCTCTGTAAACCTCCACTAACTTATTGTTTGTAATATCTACAATCTTGTATACATTGAAAAATTGCCTATACAAAAACATTTATCTTTTTAAACCATAACAAATATCATGTGATACATTATTATTATTACATACTTACCATTCTTCTATACAAGGTAAACAATAACTGTGAGCACAAGGTAATAGTATTTCCTGTTTCCTTTCAAAACAAATACAACATATAGATTGGCTATCTGTACTCGATTCAGATACTCTATCTAATATTCCAGATATTGACATATCATCTTCTACATCTTCTTTATCATTATTGCTAGAATGAGAGTATTGCTATGAGAGTATGTAACTTAAAATAAGGCATAGATCAAATTTTGATACATTTGAATTTATTAGATTGTCTTCTAGTTTTGAATTCTAATTATAGTGGCAGATTTATTGTATAAATTATTGTGTAGTTAGAGAAAGCTCTAGCAAAGTATGATATAAAAGCTAAAAGCATTGATAAAAAATGAGAACATGTATGAGTATATACTGAGAAGATATATCATGTGTCAGGAGATCACACACATATTATGGAAAATGTAATGTCTCTTAAATACAACAAAATTTACATGACGATAATGGGTGGGTATGGTTATAGTCTGTTTAAGATTCATATGTTAGGTTTATTTTTGTTAATAAACTGCACATGAATAATTTTTATTTTAAGTTACAATTAATTACTATTTAAATGGGAATAAGCCACAATTAAAGGTTAAAGTAAGTTTATTGATGTTTCAATTTCCACTTCAGATATTGTTCTCAAAATACAAACATTAGTAAATTAAACAAATTTCTTTTTTTTTTGTTACCTGGTGAAAAATTCTTCTACTTTAATTTTATGTGACACATTTATATTGACAATTCAGACATACATTTTAAATTACACAACTTTAAAATGATATTGCCAATATTGTTGAGTTGTGTTTCTGGGACGAGTTTACTTATAAGATAGTTCATTCAATTACATGAAATCAACTTTAACGAGAGAATATCAGTCAGAAAAAATCAATCAAATGAACTATCTTACAAGTAAAGTATTGAATATGTATAAAGTACTGAATTGTCAATATAAATGAGTCAGATAAAATTAAATTACTAAAAGAATTTTTCACCAGGTAACAAAAAAACAAAATTTGTTTAATTTACTAATGTTTGTATTTTGAGAACAATATCTGAAGTGAAAATTGAAACGTCAATAAACTTACTTTAACCTTTAATTGTGGCTTATTCCCATTTAAATAGTAATTACTTTAAAATGCCACGAGAAAATAGCTTTAGAACAATATTCAATTACAGTTATTGTTGAATATTAGCACATATACTTAGTTGTATAATAATTGCCAGTCACTTCCACTATGTCAAAATTTAACTAACAGTAAAAAAAAGATTACTAAATTTACTATATGATTAAGATTGGCATCAGTGAACTGATTATACCAGTAACTTCTGTGAGCAAAATAAGAAATGGGCTTAAAAAGTATAACATGCTTTACATTTATCTCAGTTTTATTATAACATCCTGGCATTATTAGTTTTGTAAATTCTAGACTTTTAAGAGATACAAAAACATTACTCTTTATGAATATCTTATCAAGGAGCAATTTGCTTTGTATTTAATTTTTTTTTCATTGTTATTGATGGAAACATACATACATAAATGCTATTAATGCAATTATTTTACACTGTTTTCAACTCATGACATCTACTCCTGTGTTTTTATCAATTTAAAACCTATGCCTACATTGACATAATCATGACTTAAGTATTTTAACTTAGTTTTTATATTTTAATATTAGAATCGAGTATAAAAAATGAAGAAAAGAGTAACAGTAACTGTCTCCTTCATTTTGTACACAATAAAGTACTCTAATAATGTTGTATAAATTTTAAAAACTTAAATCTTTCCCAAATATGATAATGATTATAGAATTAAAACCACGATTTATATAAAAGCAGCACTTTGTTTACCTTTCACACTGTTCTACAGCCATTGTTTGGCACTTTAATGTTTTAAATACTTTAATAAATTCATTGAGTGATAGAAGTCTAAATGTAATGACTTTCTGGCATTCTGGATCTATTTTAACACATGCGATTTGCACTGTAGCTTTCCAAAATATTGAGGAATCTGTATCTTTCTTCACAGCAAATACCAACTGATTTCCATTTGCATCTAGACATTTTTTGGATCTTAAACAATTTATTAAAGTTAGCGTAAAAATTATAAAACTATTATTTAATTGCGCTAAAGATATGTAAAAACTTACAATAAATTTAATTCTCCAACTAAATTAAGGAAATCATCATAGGTTAATTTGTTTATTTCATCTGATAGAAGTGTGTTTATGGAATCTTCAGTAAATATTTCAGAAAATGTGTCTTGAAAATGAGAGCTTGTGGATCCCATTTCTTTGAAATTTAAAACGTATATTTATTAAACATTTAAACCTTTTTTATTTACAATTCGTACTTTAAACGCTTAAATATTCATATAATTAGCCTGTTTCATGCTTCGTTTCATCACTTGTGTTTATATGTCATTTTCCCGTCGTTGTTGACACGTTGACAGGTCTTCAATGTCAAAATATGTAGGTGTAGGGGTGATAGGAGCAGATTTAAAACTAAACTAAATATCTCCAAATTTAACTTCAAAGATGCTTCAAAGCGTAAATTCGGTATATAATTTAACAAAACAAGAATTATTCTTAAAATTCCTCAATTATTTTTTCCTAGATCCAATTATTTTTGTATCCAATATTTTGTATCCTGTTGTCTCGCTTGTGCATAATTATACAATGACATAATTTGATTGACAACTTCCAAAAAGTCAAAAAGATAAGATAACCTTTCTGCAGTAAGTCATGTCATGTCAGTTTTGTTGATGTTTACTTGTTTATTTTTGTAGAGAAATGGCGTCAACTCAAAGGGCGTTTGCACAAAAACTATCAAAGTAAGAATGTGTCATAGACTATTTTTTTAAATCTAATATTTTCCATTTCAGACAACAAGCTGCTGAAGTACGCCGAAATGTATCTTGTACTAAAAGTGGTCTTGTTTCTCCTTCGCCCTCGGTGAGTTCAATACCTGTATGTTTGTACTAATTAATTAAAATAAAAGTACATTTCACATTAGAAATTTATAGGCTAATTTTTGCCTTAATATCTGTTTTAACATTCCACATCTGATATTTTAACAGGGCATGAATATTTTGATTTTAGGGATGGATAAATGAAATAGTTGAGCCACTAGAATTTGAAGATTTCTTGCAAAGTTATCAAAATCTAATAGATAGGGATCCATTAAGAGCTATCTTAGATATACCACAAGGAGATGTAGAGGTAGAAATAATCGAGAGACCAATAAGAACAATTCGTCCAATTTTACCAGAAGAAAAACTGTGAGTGTCATTAAACATTTGTATTAATTTTTTTTTCCTAGGTTAATGGCACTGGCAAAGCCAAAAGGCCAGTCATGTTTTCTCATAGTTCTATCATCCATTTCCATTGTTTACATTAACATATTAATATTATATACATGTTAAATTGGTCAAATGAAATCGTAGGCTTCCACGGCCAGAGTCAGAATTATAGTTTATTCGTCTTCCGGGTTTGGACCTTGTCATTTGTGAGTGACCCAAAAGTGGGTTCATCTCGACGTTTCGCTACAATTGTATGTAGCTTCTTCAGGAGAACAAAGAAAAAGAAAACAAAAAAGACAGGAAGATGGGTAGTTAGCAACGGTAACTCAGTTACTCAACGCAACCAGAGGCGAATACTAACTACCAAGATGGGCATTTGGTCACAGTAACTCAACTACTCAACGCAACCAGAGGTGAAAACCAAAAGCCAGGACAGGGATTCACGTCCAACAGCTCAGAACACTAACGCGTCGAGAGGCGGGGAGTGAATCCGACGATTACTCCGCTACCGCTCTATTTATAGTCGCGGTGACCTGTCGTGTCGGGACGTATCGGCACACTCCGTGGCGCGAACGTCAAGAAGCGCGCGCTGGCCAATCATGTGGCTGCATCGTGGTAGCGGGACCGGACGGCGGCTCTAGACTGAGATTCCAGATGGGAGACAAGTAGTATCCTTCCTCTCGATTGATATTATGTGGATTTTTTCGGATCTCTAGAGATTCGCGGATTTTCCTGGAATAAAAGAAGGGGCTCTTAGAAATAATATGGGTTTTTTCGAACAATATGGAATGACCGGTTTCTTGGCAGTGTTCTGCAACTGCATAATGGGAGAAAAGACCTGATCGAATGCATCTTTGATGCTCTTGAATCTGAGTTTTGACGGAACGACCAGTTTCGCCAATATACACATGTCCACATGAACAAGGAATAGAATAGACACCACAGGAAGATAGGGGCGGTAATGGGTCCTTAGGAGAGGGTAGATATTGTGAGATTTTCTTGGGTGGTGGAAAAGTAGTCCTGATACCTTCTTTGCGAAGAATTTTGCCAATCCTATCAGTGACATTTCGAATATACGGAAGAAAAGCCACAGGAGTATTACCTGAAGATTCTGAATTTGTCGTCCTAGTGTGTAAAGGGGGATGTAGATGTCGGTGTGTAATATTTTGAATTGTGGACTTCGAGTAACCATTGGTGACAAGGGTTTCTTGCAGATGGCCAAGTTCTTCTCTAAGGTTGTCGGGTTCAGAAATTGAAATGGCCCGATGGATGAGAGAGTTGAATTGAGACATATTTTTCTTTTAGAGGGAATTTCTACAAACAAATATCTGGAACACTAATGGGTTCTCCCCTTTCCCCTGTCATTGCTGACATTTTCATGGAAGCCTTTGAGTCTTTAGCCCTAGAATCTTACCCCTTAAAACCAAAAGTCTGGTTCCGCTACGTTGATGATACATTTATCATCTGGCCCCATGGTCAACATACCCTTTCTCCCTTCCTAGATCATCTTAACTCACAACATCCGAGTATAAAATTCACAATGGAAGTAGAAAATAATCGGTCCCTTCCCTTTCTCCATGTGTTAGTCACCTCCAAGCCCAATGGCCAATTGGGTCACTCTGTTTATAGAAAAAAGACTCACACGAATCGTTACCTACATGCTTCATCACACCACCATCCTGTCCAAAAGAATTCTGTGATCAACTCTCTCATCCATCGGGCCATTTCGATTTCTGAACCCGACAACCTTAGAGAAGAACTTGGCCATCTGCAAAAAACCCTTGTCGCCAACGGTTACTCCAAGTCCACAATTCAAAATATTACACACCGACATCTACATCCCCCTTTACACCCTAGGACGACAAATTCAGAATCTTCGGGTAATACTCCTGTGGCTTTTCTTCCGTATATTCGAAATGTCACTGATAGGATTGGCAAAATTCTTCGCAAAGAAGGTATCAGGACTACTTACCAGTAATATTACCAGTACAAGAACTTACGCGATTAAAAATGTAAAACATCCTTTTAGATTTTTATTGAACTGTGTTAAAAAGTTATTTTCTTGAAATTTTTTAATTCTTTTAAAGTCACAATAATGTGCATGTGCATTTACATAAAATTTAACTTTGTGCTAATTTTAAAACAAAATTATGTATTTTTAAATAATTTAATAGTAAAAACCATATAAGTATATTTATTTTTTCCTTGCATTTGCTATGATTAAGACAATTACTTATTTTAATTGGCTCTTCAAGAAAAACATTTAGTGTGTTCTCTTTTATTTTTTATAGTTTTTGGATTTTTTTTACACTTTTACCAGTTTGCGCCACAGAAAACATTACAATTTGAAATTTCCTTTACATATTTGTCTAGACCTACAAAAAATTGCGCATTTTAAGGCATGCCCTTTTAGTAAATAATTAATACAAATGCAAATACAAATTCTTAGTGAAATATAATAATTGTTTAAAGAAACAGAACATTTAACAGACTTTAACATTTCATCGTGATACAGCATTAAAAAATCATTGGCTTACATCAATGTTAGGTTTTAATCCGAATATTCGCACAATCCGTTGTGGATCTTGTCCTGCTCACAAAGAAGTCGCCACTCCTGTCGATTCCTGGCAACTTCCCTCCATCTTCTAACCCTTAGAATCTGTAGATCTTCTTTCACATCATCAATCCATCTCATTTGTGGTCATTCTCTGCTTCTTGTGCCCTCTGGTTTTGAAAATGTTAATCTCTTCATGTATTTGTGATCTGACATCCTAGCAATGTGTCCAGCCCAGCCCATCTAAGTCTCTGCACGAATTTAACAATATCGTTTAGTTAAGAATATTAATTATAAATTATATATTTGAAATTTTATGAGAGTTGAAGTGAAAATTTGGGTTCTCTCTAGGGCCGAATTCATTTGTATACTTTGTGTGTGTTGAAAAATCAAGCTTAAAACGCACAGAAATCATTTTCAGTAATCTTAGAAGTGAGAATGTAGATCATGTGTTATTTATAGCATAAATAAATTGGGCCTTGCAGAGATTGAACTGAAATATAAACAGAATAACAGAATTCGAATCACGCTTGATAAATCTCCTACCGAGATGTAATAAAAAAAAGAATGAAAGACAAATATGAAGATGGGACAGATATTTCTCTATTATAGGGTCTTACAGCTCTTTGGTCTAGAATGAGAAATAAAGCAAAATAGGGAAGACAACAATTTCATTGCTAAAAATCTAATAGTCTGGTTTCACATAAATACCCCATATATTTTCTTTACGCCTCTTAAGAAATTGCCACTACCTATGAATCTTCATTTTTGAATGCCAAATACACATTTACAGGGATATCCAAAATAGAGGGTCTGGTGAATGTATTTATATGGTAATCAATAAAGGTTTATTTAATAATATATTTTTAAACATATATGTTTGTTCTTTTAGTGATACGTTGCCTCCTCATATCCAGACCTGCATAGAATGTTACAAGTCATTCTGGAAAATTGTTCGTTATAATAACAGATCATATAGTAGTAGCATATCCAGCAGGTCGAATCTTTGTAAAGAACTACCTCCTACACCTAAACAAGAATTTGAAGTAGACTTTCAAGCTCCTCCTTCTGAAGCAAGCAGTGAACTAGGTAACTATTTTTATCCTGATGTTACATTATATTACCATTAAAAACTAAATGATGGGAATTTCCAGTACATTTGACTGCGTAACTATTTCCCTGTGATTTGTTACATATTTTAACAACCTAAACAATAGAAACATAAACAACAAAAATTTCATAAAAAATGTGTTGTGTGCCGACAAAGACATTATCATTTCAAATGGAGTGCCAACACAGAATTGTGTATTTTGGCAGACAATCTGTGCGGGATATCGGATGAGTTGATTACTGGTCTTCTGTTTTTCGTTATGTACTGTATGTTTAACGATGGAAAATAAAAGGAAAAATTTTCCGTTCCAATAGAAGGGCTGTGGTAGTCGCTTGACAGACTAACCAACTAGATTGTCAGATTTTATAAACTTTTGACCTGTTTCTTTGGGGACTTAACATGCAAAAAGTATTAAAAAAACTGAACAAAATACTCACATGAACTATTTGCAAGAATTTGATAAGCCCGTGCCAAAAATGTGATTGGCAATATTTGTTAAGTGCTACTACAAATGTATCAAAGTAGATGGTAGATTGGGAGAGGTGGAATATGCCCCATTGTAATAAAGATTTTAAATTGTCTTCCAAAGTAGGTCTTTTATTATTTTTAATTTACTAATGTTTGTATTTTATTATTTAATTTATGACATTAAAAAAGTCATTGAAACCGTTTAATAAATTCAAATTTTGAAGTGTTTCAAATCCAAATGAGTTATACTGTACACATACTCAAATGTTTTAATTATTGTTGCAGATTTGACATCACATAGCAGCGGCAGGCAAAGTGTTGTTTCCATCGCTTCTGTATCATCATGTGGAGATACACTAACCCCTCGAAACTCTTGGGCTTCTTTAGACCTCAGGCACTCTGCTGGGGATCCTCTAATTCCCGAGATTTTAGAACATGCTATTCCCGAAGCTTTGGACCAGTTAAACGAAAGCAGAAGGCAAATAGACAGACAGGATGCTCTATTCACTTTGACCAATTCAGAACCAGCCTTCGAAATTGAGCCTGTCGAAAAAAGATTGCCTGCGGTGCCACCTTATGAACATATGGGACATCGAGTATTAGTTAAGTGTCAACAACTAACGTAAGTATTACCGTGTGTTTCAGTGTGGGGTGTCCAACAGGAGAACCTGTTTAATTTTTTAGCGAAAAATATCATATTTTATAACATATACGTCACCCACTAGATTATTGACATAAATGTAACTCGCTGGTTTTATATTTCCGAATATAGTGCAAAATTCTTAGGGTTATATATGAAACTGACTATAAAATGAAACACTTGAATTTTTGTTCAAAGGTTTTTAGAACCAACAAAAATTTTTAACACTAATGACATTTTTCGCTAAAAAGATATTAAAAAAGTTTCTCCGTTATATCAAAATTCCTTAAATTATAAAACAATATAGACTGTCTGATCTTTCATAAATTATTTTATAAATAATGCGTTTTTGATTATTAATTAATTGCAGTATAATTCTGTAATACCACATAATCTCTATAAGAGATTGCCACAAAAGAATCCGTCAGGTGTTCATAACAAAGATCTTGTGTGTTAAGTTTTAGACCAGATATTGCAAATACATAAAGCGCTTAAATCGACAACATTGCCTCGTACGAGGTAATTTTAATTCTCCGATTCCCTTTGCTCGACACCGAGACTCCTAGACAGAAAACGAGAAAACCATTTATTAACACATAACAAGACAAGAGATGCAACTCCGTCTGTCGATTTTTGTTTTGCTTACGTACACCGGTTCATTTCTTATAATATAAACTAAAAATAAAACAAAAACTTAAAAATAAAAATAAACTTAAAACTAAAATCGCATTTCTTTAAAAAGATAAAACAAAAAATATACTCTTATTGAAAATAAAAAAAATTCTAATAAAATAAGAAATAATTATTTATGCCCTACACAAATGTTTCAAATATTTGACCTTCTACGTCTGAACAGTATCCCAATCTGTCATAAAAACTTCTGCGGGTTGATGTAAAAGTTTCTGCTGTAATAGAATTGGAGACTTCTCTTATTCGGTTTCTTAATTCATCAAAATTTTGGGCTCTAACCTCAGGATGATCATAGATGATGCTTTTTAAATGCCAAAAAAAAGAAGTCCATGGGTGTAAAATCTGGAGATCGCACAGGCCACTTAATATCGCCTGTTCCACTGATAATTCTATTCGGGAAAGTATTGTTTAAGTACTCCCTAATTATTCGCATTTGTGAACTGAACAGCCGTCTTGATGAAACCAAACATTCTTCAGATTTACATCAGGAAAATTGAGAATAGCGGGAAGAACACGATTCTGTAACAAATCGAGGTATACTCTACTGTACAAGTTGTCCTCGATAAAAAAGGACCTATTATGTAGTCTCCTAAAAGTCCAGACGTCAAACTTTTTGAGGACGTTGAGTTCGGTAAACAACATTTCTGTGCTGGTTTTTCCGCGCCCAATACCTCGTAATGAAAGGATTGTGTCTCCCTACTAACGAAACGGAAGATTCATCAGTAAATAATTTTTTTTTTAATGAAATTGGGTTTATCATTATCAAACTCCATTTTTCGAAAGTAGTCGTCTGGAATCCAGACTCTGGATAAAGCTGCTGCGTTTTCGAATATTTAAAGTTCTTGTAACCGTGCTTTTTCCACACTTATCGTCTAACATATAACTCCCTAGCAACGCTACTACTTACACGTCTTGAATCGACCTCGATTGTTGCACAAATTTGTATATCCCGGTATACTCTTTCCTTAACTTTTTCTGGTGACACTTCTTGAGCGTGAGATTTTCTGCAATTTTTGAGGCAGTAACAACTCTCAAAATGTTTAACAATATTATGTTAATTGACTGTACGCAAGGAATTGGTCTCCCCTCAAAAAAACACAGAAAATAAATCTACACAGTGTTGTCTAGAATTACCACCATAAAACTATTTTATTATTTGAACCTTTTCTGCCGGCGTATAAACAAACATGTGTTTTATAAAAGTAAATTAAAAATCTACGCTCTGATTGTTTTAAACAACCACTGTATAATGACACATTATTGGCGAAGCCGACGGCGCGCAGTGTTGCCATTTATATCTAATTTTAAAACTTAACGTACGGTATAGATAATAAGTATTAATTCTTAATTACTTTTACTTAGCATGGAAATTGAAGTAGAACCCCTCTTTGCATCCATGGCATTATACGATTGCAAAGAACGCAAAAAGGTATCTGAAACGTTTTATTATGATTTGAATCCAGAAGGACTGAAAAGAATGCTAGGAGGTCACGTGCCATATGCTGATACCAGCACCTTAGCTAGAGGTTGTATTTTTAACATTTCTCATCCGAGTCCTGATCTGTTTATAGTAATTCGACTGGAGAAAGTCCTACAGGGTGATATAAGTGAATGTGTTGAACCATATCTTAAAGAAGACAAGGTAAGTGATAGCGTTAGAGAAGTTTTGTATGTTTTGAAAATTATTCGATTATATGATTATGCCTTTTTACTCGTTATTAAACTGCTTCATTTTATTCGTACCAGATTCAATATTTATTGGATTATATTAAGATGTTCTAACCAAAGTTCTGCGTGTTACTGTTATATTACCCATCGCTACAGTTTTAAATTTTTGATTATTTCTTTGGTGTGAATCTACCTGGAAACTCTGGTAAAACTCAATTAAATTCGAATTAATTCCACAACATTCGCAATTATTTAGTTTTTAACTCTATACATACAAGGTTTTTCTTTGATTCGTTAAACGGTAAACACATTCAGGCTTTCTGTGTTTCGCAATTAATTATAGTTGTGTTAGTTATATATTATATTAATATATCTATATAGCAACCTTTTGCATTTTTAGTGAATAAAAAATTAAAATATTCCGGACTAAAAAAAAACAATTTTACTAAAATATTCTTAATCTACTATTTACGTATTTTGCTGCCACTGGAATCAATACAATTCCAATTCAAAATGATTTTTTCTATCGATTTAACCTTGTTTGTCTTGTGTGCACCCTGTGGGTACATTCTCACATGCATCAACGGAAGAAAAGGAAGAAGAACAAACAGACCAATTTAATGAAAAATTAAAATCTGCTTATGACTCATGCTTCGAAGTGAAATCAACATTATGATTGGTGACTTATATGCCAAGATTGGTAAAGTAGACTGCTGCCAAGTACATATTGCTAAATGTACATACTTTCTCCACAGAAAGATACAGGTGACGTGGTGACGTGGACATGGTCCATTGGGTTCACACAGTACCAAACGTGCTCTTATTAATAGTAGAAACTTTTCTAACCTAGACGTCTGTAGTTATAGAGGCGCCAACGCGGATTCAGACCACTATCTGGTAGGAATAAAACTACTCACAAGAATATCATGTTCAAAGAATATGAGAGGTGTACGAATAAAGACATCCAGAACACACCTCCTATAAGATGAATAAACCGTGAAAAGGTAACAGCAGCAGATCAATGATCTCATAACCACCATGGATACAGAGCACGAGACCACGCTAAAACAGGAATGGGATGCATGTAAAGAAATTGTAAAATATGCTGAAAATCAGATCCTAGGTAGGGGAGAGTTGCCTAAAAGCACTGGTTAGTTCAAAGGTGAATGTGAGCAAGCTATAAGAAAGAAGAACCATGCATACAGGCTTATGCAAAAAAGGAAAAAAGCATCAACGGATAAATTCTATTGTAGCTTAGCAGAGTATCGGGAAACGTGTTCCCAAGTAAAATAAAAGAAATTTTGAGACTAATATACTTGAAGAACAGGAAGCTATGTATTTTCTGCCCTTTTATATGGATTTGAAGCGTGGACAATTACGGAACCAACTGAACAAGACTTGCCAGCTTTAAGATGTGGTGTTATCGAAGGATGTGTAAAATATCATACGTAACAAATACGGAAACATTAAGAAAGATGAAAAAAGAAAAAGAAATACTAAACACTATGAAGGAAAGAAAAGTGAGCTACTTTGGTCACATACTAAGAAATGAAAAATATGAGTTGGTGCGATTGATTATACAAGAGAAATTGGAAGGAAAAAGAGGACCGGGGAGGCGACACACGTCCTGGTTGAAAAATTTAAGAGGAGTGGAAGGACAACAATATAACTCTTCAGAACTGCTGCAGACAGAGTAAAATGGGTCATGATGTTCTTCCTCTTAAAAGAAGAGGCAAGCGAAGAAGAAGAAAGATCAATAGTGGAAGAAAATAATTTAAACCGCAAAATTTTAACATTGGTGAGGTTCTGAAACTGTTTTCTTGTGGCATGTTCAAGTTAAATATTCATATGTGATTAATATGAATAATATTCATATGTGATTGTGAATAATATTCATACGTGATTGTGAATAATATTCATATGTGATTGTAAATAATATTCATATGTGATTAAACTTAATTCATTGTAATAAAAAATACATTTTACATTTTTACGTTTCGAGTTACGCTTACGAGAACAGAAAATACAACTGGAGAATATCGAAAATGAAAGCAATGTAGAGACTAGCTGGAGAAAACTTAAGAAAAATATTCTGGATGCTGCCCGAGAAGCCCTTGGAACGAAAATAATAAACAAAAAGTTGTCAACGAAAACACCATGTTTTACACTAGAGGTTAAACAAAAATGTCACCAAAAAAGAAAGCTTTCCTAAGTCAGAAAAACCGAATGAATCATATGAAGAATATAAAAGAATAAGAACTGGCTCATCAATTGGTAAGAAAAACAAAAATAGATTACTGGGAAAGATTCACAAAAGGACTAGAGATGGATTTCTATGGACAACAGAAATAAGTATGGCGCTTCATAAGATAACAAAGACGCGAAATAAAAGAAATAGTTGAAATAGAACACATACAAGAGTATACATGGGTGGCCTTCCGGACAGAAATGTTTAAAAAACAAAAAGAAGAACATTTACCAGAAACACCAAATATAATAACTGAGGAAAAGACCGAAATCTCCCAAAACGATGTGAAAGAAGGAATAAACAAATTAAAAAACAGAAAGTCACCAGAAGAAGATCAAATACCAAATGAACTCTTAAAATATGGAGGTGATTACCTTGTATAACAACTGCAACTTCTTATTAATAAAATAATCACCAGGAACAGAATACCAGATGAATGGAGGAGAGCGATCATGGTGATGTTCTTCAAAAAAGGAGATAAGAAAGACCCCAATAATTATCGAGCAATAAATCTTTTAAATACAACACTCAAATTGGCAACAAGAATAATAGCGACCAAAATAAACGAACGAATATCTCTGCAAGAGGAACAGCAAGAATTTCGGACAGGAAGATCATGCACGGATGCAGTCTTTGTAATAAGACAAATAAAAGAAAAGTCGCTGGAATACAACAAACCAGCATATATGTGTCTGATAGATTTGAAGAAAGCGTTTGATAGAGTGAGAATTCGGGACGCGACACGTTTATTATATGAAAAGTGAATATCACTGGATTTAGTAAAAACCATTGAGAATATAAATATATAAAGATAACATAGCTATGGTAAGATGTAAAGGAAAACTATCGCAACCTATCAAATATGAAACTGGCATTAGACAAGGAGATTCGCTGAGCCCATTAATATTTAATCTGATAATGGATGAAATCATAAAGAAAGTTAAAAAAGAAGAAGTTATAGAATCTGAGAAAAATAAATAAGGATAATATGCTACGCCGACGACGCCATAATAACAGCAGAAACTGAAGATGACCTACAAAGATTAATTAAAGAATTCGAAGATACGGCACTCATATACAACATGGTGATCTCAACAGAGAAAACTAAAGCGATAGTGATATCAGCGGGACCGAGACGATGTAAACTAGTAAATAACAAAATAATAGAACAAGTGATGGAAACTGAATACTTGGGAATAAAACTGTCAAACTGCGGAAAAGTGGAAGAAGAAGTACAAAAACAAGTGAACATGGCAAACAGAGCAGCAGGATGTCTCAACAAAACAATCTGGAGAAACAAATACCTCACAACGAAAACGAAAACCAGGATATATAAATCAACAATAAGACCGATAATGACGTACACCGCGGAAACAAGAGCAGACACGTCGAAAACACGAAGACTGCTGGAAACAACAGAAATGAAAATCTTACGAAAAATAACAAACCAAACTCTAAGAAACAGAGTAAGAAGTGAGGAAATACGCGCGAGATGTGATATAGAGGAAATAAACGCGTGGACCAAAAGAAGAAAAGTGGAATGGAATCAACACATCGAAAGAATGACAGAAAACAGAATAGTACGAATAGCAATAGACAAATCGCCAAATGGAAGAAGATCATTGGGACGACCGAGGAAAATATGGTCAGACAACGTCAATTGATTCTAAAAACCTATTTATAAACTAGGAAGAAGAAGAAGAGTTACGCTCCGGAAATAAGATTATTTTAAAACAAGGAGTTTTTATAACCTGTCGTTGTTTACTGAAACGTCATAAATTGTGATTTAATCCCATATAAATACAATATTTAATATTGGTAACAACAATTTTGAAGTGGTACAACAGTTCTCTTAACACTGAGAAGCAGTGTAAACATCAAGAACATAATATCGGAAGAGATAAAGAATAACGCTCGTAAACATAAGTGTTTGTGATATCTTAGAAGCCATTGTCTAACACGAAAACCAAAGATGGATCTGAGATATGAGTGCTTTCTAATACATGTGAAAACAGACTATTGTTGTATATTTATATAGTTCTAATTTATTTGTCTTTATTCTAATTTATTGTCTATATTTTAATTTATTAAAACTCACGATAACTAATTACTAATTTATTAAATAGCTTATTAAATACAAATTTATTTGTTACGTTTCGTTACAAGTAAATCGCGTTTCCCGATCTTCTTATGACTGACTGCCAAATAAATAAATCTTTCATTTATATACACAACTGTTGTTATCTCGAAATTTCGGCGGACTTCTTGAATAATCTCGTATTTTGGTGAAGGCGATCGACTCGTTTTTCAACTGTTTGAAAAGCCTCGAGACGTGGATTACTCATAAAATTAGGGTCTAGAGGTTTCTGTAAACAACTTCGAATTTACTGGAACAGAAAACAGAATTAGTCATAATATATTGATAGTTATAAACGCCATAATTATCGTAACATTGCCCCCCTCTTAAAAGATGGTTCCTCCTGGAACCTTGTCGGGACTGGAACTGAAACGGTATGCTGGTATCGGCAACTGGACCCTCTTTTACAACTTCCAGTTTTATAAAAATGGCAAGAAACTGTTTTCTCTCCGCACCAGTAACTATGCGGATTGCAACAGACTAACACCTGGACTTCGGTGTCTCTAAAGATCTCCTCCACCATACTTCGAATAACCCTCCAATCTAATTGGTGGCACTCTAACTTTGGCATGGCTAAGTTTTGCACGTC